CCCCCGGCCATGCACATACACATAGAATCTCTGCATTTATATATACATATATATCTATCTCTGTATATATTTGTTTTCTGCTACCAAACCTGAGCCTTTTAAAGCAGAAAAATGTGATGCCTGAGGAACCTGGAGCCTTTCAAAGACTTTGCTGAAAATCCTAGAAAATTTCAAGGAAGGGGCGGAGAGAGGCGGGAGGTGGCCAAAAACCTCAGCCCTGGGTCCAAAAGCAACTTTTTCCTGTAAAAAAATAAAACATACTGCTGGAAACATCATACAGCGCTGCTGCCTGCCCGACACTGTGGGGATGGGAAGGTGCTTTTCCGGGTGGGATGCTTTTGGGCCTGACATTGGGTCTGTGTTACAGGTACTGCCATGGGTGCGTGGAGCCGTGGGGGTGTCCTGACCCCCATGGGGATGCTCTGGGAGCTGTGGGGACCTGTCACCCTCCTGCCAGTCCTGCTCCTGGGGCATGGGGACTGTCACAGCCCTGTGCTAGCAGAGTGGTGGGGATGGAGGTGCTGAGCTGCAGCGCAGAGCCAGGTGGGTCGTCACCCCAAGGACCACGCAGCGGGTGCCCTGGCAGGTAACCTGTTTCTCCCTTCTCCCTGAGCTCCCTTGTGGGTTTTTTAATCATTGCATGGCCAAAACTGCTTGTAAGGTGTCAGCTGGCCCACAGTGGGCTCCAAGGGTCTGCCATAAGCCCTGTGGCACCTGAGCGGTGGGGAGAAGGCAGGTTGCAAAGCCAGCTGCAAAGACAGGGATAATTCTGACCTCACTTTGCAAGGGTGGGCGCAGGATGCTTCATCGCTCTGCCAGTCCCAGCCCATCTGTGTGCCGCACATTACATTGGTCCGTGCCTCAGTTTCCCCATGTCAGGGCGCAGTGATGGCACCCCCTTCCTCTGCCTGCCCCAGGGCTGGTGGAGCTGCGCATCGGGCAGTCTCTCCCTCCCCAGTCGCTGAGCCCACAGCCAGGGAGCTCAACCTTGGGTGGCTGAACCATGGCGGGCCAGGAATGCTGCGTCCCTGGGGCAGGGGACAGCAGGGACTGGGCACACGGAGTGGGGGTTTGCAGGGGAAAAATTGCTGGCAGCGGCCAGATGTTGCTCTTGCTCACAGAGCAGAATCCCAGGGCTGGCCCCAGCCTGCGCCAGGGCACATCCAGGCTCAGGCCCCCCCCAGCCACCGTGCGGTGCAGGGTGTTGGGGGTCTGTAGCATTTCGCCCCGGTCTGCAGGCTGGGAACTGCCTTGCTTGGCCTCTCTGGGATCCAGGCTGCTCAAAATCCTGTTATAACCAGCACTGAAATCCCTTTCTGCCCTTCCCAGGTGCTGAGGGCAGGGCAGGGCTGCCTGTGACCCTCAGGAGAGGATGCAGGGATGGAGGGATGCAGGGATGAAGAGGGGAAGGATGTGGGGGTGTAGGGATGGAAGGATGTGGGGATGGAGGAATGTAGAAGTGAAGGGATGGAGGGATGTGGGGATGCAGAGATATAGGGGTGAAAGGAGGCAAGAATGAAGAAGGGCAGGAATGGAGGGATGTGGGGATGGAGGGGTGAAGGGATGGAGGGATGTGGGGATGCAGGGGCGAAAGGATGCAAGGAAGAAGAAGGGCAGGAATGGAGGGGTGGAGGGATGCGGGGATCACACCCGGCTCTGCCGGCCCCTGGAGCCCCTGACTCCCCACCGAGAGCCCGTACCCGGCTGCTCCCGGTCGCTCCCGGCCGGGCCGTGCCCGCGGTGCCGGGAGGTGGCAGCAGCGGCCGAGAGCGGG